TTTTTTTTTTTGGTACTGGGAATTGAACTCATGACCTTGTGCTTGCTAGTCAGGAGCTTGAGCTGCTGAGCTATATCCCCAGCCCAATACTAACTATTGAAAAAAAAAATGACTACTGTACCAAGAGAACATGAAAGTCACAGAAGAGGTAGTCACTAGAAGAAGAAAAATTAGTTTTCTTGTATCAAACACAAAGAAAATTAAAAACAAGTACCCACTAGATGACAAAGTCACCAATAGTCCTGCTTACTCAAAAATAGAATAAAAAGAGAATTCAAGCCAGAAGGGGTGGCACACACCTGTAATCCCAGCACTCAGGAGGTTGAGGCAGGAGGATTGCTATAAATTCAGGGTCAGCCTGGACTACATAGTGACTTTAGGTCTCAAAAAATAAGACGCCAGGTATGGTGGCGAGTCCCTGTAATCCCAGCACTCAAGAGGCTGAGGCAGGAGGATCACTGTGAGTTGGAGGCCAGACTGGGCTACAAAGTGAGTTCAAGGCCAGCCAGAACTCAGAACTGCATAGTGAAACCCTGTCTCAAAAAGGCAAAGAAAAAGAAAAAAAGAAAAAAAAAAGGAGAGAGACTATCAGATTTCAGTGAGCATAAACAAATAGCACATAATGGAAATAGTATAAGTCAATGACTGTCATAAGCATGATTATGAAAGACAAGTGATAACTGCCACAGAGAAGTAAAATGTCATGGGTACAACTTTTAGGACAATAAGTATACTCGAATACAATATTAGTTCATTTCAGTACCATAAAGTCACACTAACTCTTTTCTGTAATAAAGTACAAAATATCCTTTTAGGCTACAACAAGAAGGTCTATGGTTTGGTTTTTTTTTTTTTTTTTTTTTTTTTTTGTGTGTGTGTGTGTGTGTGTGTGTGTATCTATGTTTAATGACAGCCTGGGCAACTTACTAAGACACTATCTCAAAATTAGATAAATAAAAAGGGCTCAAGATAGCTTAGCAGTAGTATGACTTAGCAGTAGAATGACTTATAATGTGCAAGGCCTTGATTTCAAACTCCAGCATAGGAAAAAAAATAAATTCAGGAAAGATGGAAAACTCAATAAACACATCTAAATTCACTTCTTGCCAGGAATGATGGTGCACACCTGTAATTCCAGCACTCAGGAGGCTAAGGCATGAAGATCGCCACAAGTTTGAACTACACAGCTAGAACTGCATAGTGATGCCGTCTCAAAAAATAAAATTAAATAAATAAATTCACTTCTTGCCTAATCCACACTAACAGTACACTAAAAACATTTTAAAGACAACATTAAAAGGAAGAGAAAATAGGAGAAAATAGCAAGCTACATGTAAATTAGCTACCTGTGCTACATTTTGGAAGCTGGTAAGTATGACAACTAAGATCCATGAATGCCAAATCCTAAGTCATCAGTGAACAAGGCCAAAAACCCACCATATCTCAACAGCATCCTCTAAGTATCTAGAAACTGCCAAAACTTGGTGGCTGTGGAGTTTGGGATGATGAAGTGTAGATAGCTGAAAGCTGACAAGTAGCTTGGTTATCTATATTTCTTCCGATACTCTAAACCACTGGATTATTGCCTTACTCTCCACAACAGAAGACTAAGCAACAGAAGCACAGTGTAGAAGTGTAACTGTACATGAGAGAATGAATGAACTAAATTCTAAAACAACTCAGCCATTTCCTCAGTTCAAGCCCAGAACAGTAAAAGCCAAACTCTTACTATTCTCTAAGGCAGAACACTAAAAACTTGTCTTGGGTTCCCCAACCCAAGAAGAAGAAAAAGGGTTTGAAGACAAAACCGACAAACTTTTTTCTGAAGCAAAGATATACCAAGGATGAAAAATTACAAATTTAATAACAACAAGATCAACACCTCAATGAGTTTTATAAAGAGAAAATAAAGTCAACAAAGTAACTCAAGTAAATGTCCCATACTAAAGGAAACTAAATGTGTAAATCAAAAGGGCCCACTAAGTACCAGGTACAATGAATAAAAACA